TTTTTCATAATAGCATTGAATGATTGAATTTCATAATTATGAATTTCAGTAGATTTTGAAATATAATAGATGAGAATTTTTTCCGTAAAAAAATGTATAAAATTTTATGTGCAAGAAGATACTTCGCGATAGGCAGATTTTTGAATCAAGCAACAAGTTTGAACACCGCTTTCGCATTTTCGAAAATGTGCTTTGATGAAGAAAAATTCGCCTGAGATTATTTCTATTAATATTTAATTTGTCTTAATGAGTCTTCTTTTTTTTATTTTGGTTGTTCGAGTCAATTGTCAGATTTCATAGTATCTTTTTTAAATAAATTCTTGTTCATTGTCTTTATTCTCTTGCAATTTCAATAATTTCTGAAAGAGTAGAGTCATTAGAATTTGAAATAAAATGATATAATGGTTCGTTTAGATACAAACTGTATAAATTAATCATTTTTTTAGTTTAGGATTTTCAGGTTTAACCCTTTCCGTGTTCATTGTCAGGATCTCACTCACGTGCTCAGGTGCTACTTGGGTGGGTGAAAGACATTGGGCACGATGACCATAGTTTGTAATTTCATAAAAAATTTCTCAGCGACTGACAATGTGTTAGCGTATCGTGCACGACGTATTTTCCGCATGTGTGTGTGTGGTTAGGATGTGGAACTGCGTCGTTTCTAATCTATTCCATTCATTATAACTTGAAATATTAAAAATATTTATGCATTAATTTTAAGTGTGAATTTATTATAACAATACATAGTAAATATAGTATAATTATATTATTAATTATACTTTCAATTATAATAATGATTCCAAGTCAACTTGCACATGTGACTTCTACAGAAATTATACATATGTTTGTTCAGTTATTAACATTTCACATATAACTATAAATAAAAACATGTTTTAATCACGTTTTACGCAATGATAGCTAGCAATTGTCAGTCGATTTCAGGAAAATGGTACGTAAATTAGAGTGTGAATGTGTATGCGACACTCGGGTGTCGGAGGCGTCCCGGGATGTCCTCTCTAGTGTAGGCTTTTGCGCCCGAGTGTATGTGTGAGAACCGTGGAG